GGCCGTGGTCCCCGGCCCTTTGCCGCTGCTGGACCCGGACGTGAGCCCCCCGCCGCCGCCACCGCCCCGGCCGTCGCCACCCGACGTGTTTGCGGGCTTCGCGCCCCACCCCGCGGCCCTGGGCCCCCCGACGCTGCTGGCTGAGCAGATGAGTGTGATCGGCAGTCGTAAAAAAAGCGTGAACATGACCGAGTGCGTGCCGGTTCCCAGCTCGGAGCACGTCGCTGAGATCGTGGGTCGCCAGGGTGAGTGACCACCGTCGGGGGAGCCGCCCTGGGGGTCCCCTCGCTGTCCTCCCTGGGGAAGGGACCGTTCCAGCCCAGCCCAACCCAGCCTCCCGCCAGACTCCAGGGCCCAGACACGCCTCGCTTGGGCTCTGGCCTCAGAGGCCGCCTTTGCGCCTTTGTCCTGCAGCAGTCGCGGGAGAAAGTTGGGCGCAGCCCGCCTTCCCGCCCGGCCGCTGCCTTTGTCTGGGCGCTCCAGCCTAAAGGCCCTGGTGTGCACCACCGCTGTCCGTGCCCTCCGTGTCCGCAGGAGCACCCCAGAGAGGGGCGCTAGGGACCAGAGGTCCTGGCCAAGCGGTGGGTGCTCCACACCCAAGACAGGCACGGGGCGGGGCATGCTCAGATTTGGAGGTGGCTTGGGTGGGCCACCAGCAGGATCAAGTGAGAAGGCTGACAGCGCAGAGATTCCATCTCAAGTCCCCAGCTTAGGGCCCCTGATTGGGGTGGGGGCAGGACCCAGTGGGAAAGGACATCCACCCTACTTTGGCATCTGAGTCAAAGATTGGGGGGCTGGTGGGAGAACCGGCTATCAAAGCTACTTGTGGGATACAACCCCTAAACCCTCTTTGGCAGGACAGTGGGTGGCAGACCCAGGATGTGGGGGTCCAGAAGCGGTATTGTCAGATCGTCCCTGTGGCCGCCCCATTGTTCTCTTTGTTAGAGAGCTAGGCTGAGATTTGCAGGGTGACATCAGGCCGGCCGCTGCTCATTGGCCCTCAAGCTGTGGGGCGGGCAGGAGGCTGGTGGGCAGTGCCCAGCCCAGCACACACCCACCACCCCATTAGTCGCCTGCCCATCCTCCTGCCTTCCTGGCCTCAACTTTCTCCTGCCTTCCCACCTGCCCCACTGGCTCCTAGCTCCCTGCTGACCGCCTGTGATCAGCCAGGTTCTAGAACTTGGGGTGGGGCCTGGGCGGGGCTTGAGGTGGGGCTGCAGGACTCTGGGTTCTCACTAACAGAAGCCTGAGAAGGGTGTGGGGGCTTAAATTGCAAGGTCACCTGTCACCCTCTGTAAAAGCAGGGCACCATAGGAATGCCCACCCTACATCCCTTCCCTGGTTCTGGGTGGTTGGTGCAGTTGGGCCAGCAAGCCCAGTGTCTTTTGGTCATTCATGTGCTCAGCTCTAATGTGGACACAGGGAGGGTTGGGCATCATGCTGGACCTAGAACCTGCCACAGAGAATGGGAGTCAGGGAGAGGGACAGGCAGTTCTCTGAACCTTGCTGGCTGCCACCCCAGGAGACGTGGCTGGACAGGTCCCCAAGCCATCCTGTTGCTCCCCCCAGTCCACACCCCAAGCAGTGGCTCTGTGTGGAGCATCCTGAGGGGTGTGGGAACAGACGTCCAAACTAAGGCCTGAAGTCACCAGGCTGATCTGCCAGTGTGTTCTGCATGAATGCATGTGTCCTGGCACCAGAAGGTCTTTTTAGGGACTGGTATTGGAGTTGGGCACAGGCTGTGGGGACCTGTGGCCGCAGGCTGGGCATTTCTTGGCAGGGCTGTGGAGCACTGAGCATGAAAACACCAGGCTCAGTCAGCCCTGACCTCCCGCATGTGCATTCGGCACCCATTTATGGGGTATCAGGCTTGGTTTCTGCTGGTTGCAGTCAGTAAGGCAGGCGTGTGTGTGTGGGGGGGGGCGGTATCCTGAGACCGTATCCTGCAAGTTGGGGTAGCCCTGTGGCCATGGGCAAATGACAACTCTTTTCTGTGATGTTGAGATAGCACTTTTTCTTGGGGTTGTTCCAAGGGTTCTTTTTTTTTTGAAACAGAGCCTCAAGCTGTCCCCCTGGGTAGAGTGCTGTGGCATCAAAGCTCACAGCAACCTCCAACTCCTGGGCTCAAGCGAGTCTCCTGCCTCAACCTCCCAAGTAGCTGGGACCATAGACACCTGCCACAATGCCCAGCTATTTTTTGGTTGCAGCTATCATTGTTGTTTGGTGGGCCCGGGCTGGATTCGAACTCGCCGCCTTGGGTATACGTGGCTGGTGCCTTAGCCACTTGAGCCACAGGCGCCGAGCCTTCCAAGGGTTCTTATACTGCTCTGGGTGGCACATGGTTGCCACCCCAAGAGAAGGGTATGGGGTGCCAGGGATATGACCATGAATGCCAGGACAGGTTGGCAGCTTCAATAATCCTTGCATTTCCCCCAGCTCTATAACTATCTGTGGCTCCCAGCTTCTCCCATCCACCTAATTCTCAACCACATCCTTCAATGTCCTTTATGCCCTAGCTCTGCCTCCTCCTTTTCTCTGGTCACATACCTCACCCTCTTTGCTATCCTTCCCCCACCTGCAAGGACTAATGAAGCTGCCAACCTGTCCTGGCATTCATGGTTACATGAATAAAGGAATACAGGAAGAGTCAGAGAAACTGGAGTTGAAATCTCAGCCCCTACCCATCTGCCCCCTTATCTGTGACCCCAGGAGCTGCAGGATTTTCTCAGAAGCAGGTCTCACCCTCCACCCTGGGGATCCCAGATTTGCATTTCTGTCAAATCCAAGGCCCAAGGTCACCCTTTTCCCTGGAGGGCAAGAGGGGCACATCTGCCTGGCCTCCATCACAGTCACATAGACCTGTTCCCAGCTCTTTCTTTGAGCCCCACATACTATTCTCCAAGCCTTTGTTTTCTCAAGCCTAGAATGGGTCCAAGTGCTTTCTGGGCACACCATTGTCATTTATACCCCCTCTGAGTTCTCTGTTCTCTCTGAGCCTAAGGAGGCCTGGATCAGGAGACATTTTCCCATTTGCTAAGGTGTCCATTTACTTGCTACATCTTTATTAAATGCCTACTGTATGCTGAGCCTATGCCAGTCTTAACCTGCTGCAGTTCACTGAGACCCAAGATCTGCTTCTGAGAAAATCCTGCAGCTCTTGGGGTCACAGATAAGGGGGCAGATGGGTAGGGGCTGAGATTTCAACCCTAGTTTCTCTGATTCTTCGTGTATTGCTGGGGGTGGGGAAGGTCAGCAGAGAACTTACTACCTTCCAAGGCTCCAAGGTTGGGGGCAGTGAGAGGCAGCCCTCTTTTGGATACAGGCAAAATACAGGCTCCAAGAGGATGATGATGGGCATCTCCCTCCAGCCAGCCAGTGAAGGTCATCAGGGAGACCCTGGCTCAGTTCCTTAGTTCCTTCTGAGACCCACTCATCCCCTCCTTACTTGCCAGATTTACCTGGGATCTTGGGCACATCCAAGCTCAGGGACTGCTTTGCCTTGCAAGTTTTTGTAGAATGGACCCAGGGCATTCTTTTTTTTTTTTTTGGAGACAGAGCCTCAAGCTGTCCCCCTGCGTAGAGTACTGTGGCATCACAGCTCACAGCAACCTCCAACTCCTGGGCTCAAGCGAGTCTACTGCCTCCGCCTCCCAAGTAGCTGGGACCACAGCCACTTGCAACAATGCCCAGCTATTTTTTGGTTGCAGCCGTCATTGTTGTTTGGCGGGTCCAGGCTGGATTCGAACCCACCAGCTCAAGCGTATGTGGCTAGCGCCTTAGCTGCTTGAACCACAGGTGCTGAGCCTTTTTTTTTTTTTTTTGAGACAGAGTCTCATTTTGTCCCCTTCGGTAGGGTGCTATGGCATCATGGTTCACAGCAACCTCCAATTCTTGGGCTTGAGCAATTTTCTTGCCTCAGCCTCCCAAGTAGCTGGGACTACAGGCACCTACTGCAACACCCGGCTATTTTCTGTTGTAGTTGCCACTGCTATTTTAGCTGGCCTGGGCTAGGTTCGAACCCACCATCCTTGGTATATAGGGCTGGCGCCCTACCCACTGAGCCACAGGCACTGCCTAACCCAGGGCATTCTTGGTCATGGTTCAGTCTCTGGTACCTTGCATGGGGCCTGTCACACAGTAGATGTTCAGTAACCAGTGTGTGAATGAATGATGTAGTCAGAGCTTGGGCTGAAAGCCACCAAGGGCTGGCTTCCTTGCTGCTGTTGTCACACACTGAGAACAGAGGCCTTAGACTGGAAGGGAGGAAGGCCTCCAAAGCCCTCTGTTCTTTCCTCCTACTCCCACTGGATTTAGGTGCTTTTCTGGTGGCAGGGGATAGTGCTGTAGTGTTATAGGGACCATGCCTTGGTTCTCTTATCTGATGTTCCTATTTCACAGCTGAGCCACCTTCCCTCCCTCTCCCACAGACCACTAGCCAGGACTAGCTCCCATGCTGGCCTGGTTCAGGGGACAACTCTATTCTGTGCTGGCTACTTGGTCAAGGGCTGCCATATGTTGGACTGAGTTTTAGTGATGGCCACTTGTCCCAGCCTCATCCTGCTTCTGGAATTCTGCCCTTGGTGTTCCCTCAGCTGCTCTCCTGGGTACATGGCCTCCTTGTGGCTATGTTAAATGCCAGCTGTCAATCCCCAGCAGCAGCTTCTGCTCCTAGTCCGGGCCTTGTGATTTTATTGATAACTCTGTACTGGGGATCGCCTGCAGTCAGGATCCCAGACAGGGTTAGATGAGTAATGTCCACTGATAGAAGCTCTGTTTGGGGCCCTGTCCTTGGAGGGGAGGATTTGGCTTTGTTAGGGTAGGAGTGGGTTTGGGGATAGTCAACCCATGCCCCTGGGGCAGTCACCCAATTCCCAAGCATGCTGGACTCTGAGTTGGAATTCTGGAGGCTGGGCCCAGGAATCTGTATTTTAGCCTGCATCAACCCTCAGCTGGCCCTAGGGTCCCTTTGGGGTCGTCATTCTGGCCTGACTGTGCCTCACCCACTGGGGCAAGGATGTGGCTGGGGTCACTCCTATAGCCCTGACTTCATGGCCTAGCTCAGACGTCCTCAAACTATGGCCCATGGGGCACATGCGCCCACCTAGGACATTTATATGGCCCACAGGGTGTTTTTGCCGCCACTGCCTGTCCTGCTTAGCAGACGACTTGTCCCGGGGCCCACAGTCTGGCTCTCCAACGGTCTGAGGGACAGTGAACTGTCCCCCTGTTTAAAAAGTTTGAGGACCACTGGCCTAGCTCTACTGCCTCTCAGGGTCTTGATGTGGGTGGGGTTTGGTCCTAGCTGAGAAGAGCTGGTGAACTAGGTCTCTCAGCTGTGAGATCTACACCCAAGACCACCATCTGGCATGGAGAAAGGTGGGGTGTAGGCTGCTGGAACCCTTCCTGCCCTAACTCAGCCACAGCTCCCATCACTAAACTGTCCTTAGTTCTTCCCACTGGTGGGTTACCTGTCACCTTCACCTTGATCCCTTTCCAAACCTCTCCCTGTCCACCCTTAACTCTGAGATTTATTATCTCATTTTTATGTGACCCACAATTTGTGAGCTCAGCTGTGGCCATGTCAGGATATCCCTCTCACAGGTGACCTTTTGGGGCCTGGAGGCACCTGAAAAGGGCCAGATGGAGGACCCCATAGTGGAAACCTCTCAGCTGGCTCTGCTCTCCACCAGCCCCAAGCAGGGTGAGCTTCCTGAAGGAGGGGACACTAGGCTGAGATGTGCAGAGGAATGAGAGGGTGGTGGAGGTGAGGAGAGTGTTAATAGGTAGGAAGGTCAAGTGTAGCCAGAGCAGGGGGCTGCTGTCCTCCTTTGGGTGGGTCTCCCTGCCTCATTCACCCCTGCTGGACCACTGAGACCCCTGCCTTCTAAGCTCCATGTCTTTTGTCTTCCTGGCTCAGGCTTCTTCTCTTTGGCTTCTTCCTGCTGAAATGTGCTTGTCCAGCTAATTTTGTGTCTTTTGCTACTAGAGAGTTTAGTAACACTGTTATCCTGTCATTGCCACCCTCTGATTATATTGAAACAATATCCTTGTGTCCCTGTGTCTCTGTCTTCTCAGAGCCTGGGGGCTGTGTGGCAGGGTGTGGGGTAGGGTCATGGACATCTGGGACCCCAGGAAGGCCATACCTGTCCTTTATACTTTAAGGGCTGCCTAGAAAGTGAGTGAAGATCCCCTTCCATACACTTCTGAAAGACTCTGTTCTCATCACAGGTCAGACTGCCCTAGCCCAGCCCAGCCGGCAACAATGGATCCACTGTGTTATGTCCCTTACACTCCACCTCAGGAACACCTGGGGCCTTTTGATGCCCAGGAGGCTGCCACTGCCCTGGGGCTTAGACTTTCTTTGGGTGTGGACCCTGGCAGCCTAATGGGGTCCTTTGGCTAGAAGAAAATCGTAGATGTTCTCCACCGCTTGAGCTTCGGCTTCCTCTCCTGCTGGACAGGGAGTCACTGTCAGAGGATCTCTGTTTGTTTCCTAGGGCTGACCAGGTGTCTTGAAACAATAGAAATTTACTCTTTCCCAGTTCTGGAGGATAAAAGTTTGAAATCAAGGTGGTGGTAGGGCCAAGCTCCCTCTGAAGCCTCCAAAGGAGGATCCTTCCTGCCTCTCAGACCTTGGTGTTCCTTGGCTTGTAGACACATCCCTCCAGTCTGTGCCTCTGCCTGGCACACAGCCCCTCCTCTGTGGGTGTCTCTGTGTGTGTCCTCTCTTCTTCTTCTTCTTCTTCTTCTTCTTTTTTTTTTTTTGAGACAGTGCCTCAAGCTATCCCCCTGGGTAGAGTGCCGTGGTATCACAGCTCACAGCAACCTCCAACTCATGGGCTCAAGCAAGTCTCCTGGTGTCCTCTCTTCTATAAAAATACCATCAGATTGGATTTAGGAGCCACACTAATCCAGGATGACCTCCTTTTAACTAATTATATCTTCAAAGACCCTCTTTCCAAATATGATCACTGTCTTAGTCCTTTCCTATGGTTGTAACAGTATACTTTAGACTGGTCATTTCTTTTTATTTATTTTTGAGAGTCTTACTATGTTGCCCTTGGTAGAGTGCCATGGTGTCACAGCTCACAGCAACCTCAAACTCTTAGGCTTAAGCAATTCTCTGGCCTCAGCCTTCCAAGTAGCTGGGACTATAGGTGCCCGCTGCAACACCTGGCTATTTTTTTTTCTTTTTAAAGATAGAGTCTCACTTTGTTGCCCTCAGTAGACTGCCGTGGTGTCACAGCTCACAGCAACCTCCAGCTCTTGGGCTTAGGCGATTCTCTTGCCTTAGCCTCCCGAGTAGCTGGGACTACAGGCGCCTGCCACAACACCTGGCTATGTTTTTTGTTGCAATATGGCCACGGCCGGGTTTGAACCCACCACCCTCAGTATATGGGGCCGGCACCCTACTCACTGAGCCACAGGTGCCACTCAATGCCCGGTTATTTTTTGTCGCAGTTGTCATTGTTGTTTAGCTGGCCCGGGTGGGGTTTGAACACTTCGTATATGTGGCTGGCATCATAACTACTGTGCTGCCTGGGTAATTTATGAACAACATTTTATTATTGCTCATGGTTCTGGAGGCTGGGAAGTCCAAGATCAAGGTGCCAGCAGGCACAGTGTCCAGCGAGGGCCTGTTCCTCACAGCACCTTCTGTTTTTTCATGTGGCAGAGGGGGCAAGGGAGCTTGCTGGAGTCTCTTTTATGAGGGCATTAATCTTGTGATGAGGGTGGAGGGTTTACCACATAATCAGTCCCCTAAGCCCCCACCTCTTTTTTTTTTTGGCTGGGGCTAGGTTTGAACCCGCCACCTCCAGCATATGGGACCAGTGCCCTACCCTTTTGAGCCACAGGCACCGCCCCCAAGGTCCCACCTCTTAACATTGTCACACTGGATATTAGTTGCCAGTGCATAAATTTGGGGGTGAAGACAAACATTCACACTACATTCTGAAGTTTAGGGCAGGTGTCCTCAAACTACGGCCTGCAGGCCACATGCGGCCAGCCTAGGATATTTATCTGGTCCACCGGCTGTTTTTGCCACGGCTGCCTGTTCTGCTTAGCAGCTGATTCGTCCTGGGGCTGGCAGTCTGGCTCTCCAACAGTCTGAGGGACAGTGAACTGGGCCCCTGTTTAAAAAGTTTGAGGACCCCTGGTTTAGGGAGACATAAATTAAGGAGACACTTTTTAATCCACAACCATGTTTTCCTTGGCTTCTTGTTTGTTTGCCAACACCCAGAAACCTAGAAGGAAAACTGAGGATGGGGAAGGAAGGACATGGCATATTTGAGAATAAGCCGTGAGGAGCACAGGCTGGGAAATGGGGGTTCCAAATTAGCTGCGCTCACTGGCCCTGCAGCCCGAATTTTGAAGGGGCTATCCTGGGCTGAGGACCCTGGTCACCATGTCTCTCTTCCTCACAGGCTGCAAGATCAAGGCTCTGCGTGCCAAGACAAACACGTATATTAAGACACCAGTGCGTGGGGAGGAGCCGGTCTTCATCGTGACTGGCCGCAAGGAGGATGTGGAGATGGCCAAGCGCGAGATCCTGTCGGCTGCGGAGCATTTCTCCATGATCCGCGCCACACGCAGCAAGGCGGGAGGGCTACCAGGCACTGCCCAGGGCCCGCCCAACCTGCCAGGACAGACCACCATCCAGGTGCGCGTGCCCTACCGAGTGGTGGGGCTGGTGGTGGGGCCTAAGGGTGCCACCATCAAGCGCATCCAGCAGCGGACGCATACATACATCGTGACGCCTGGGCGCGACAAGGAGCCGGTGTTTGCCGTGACCGGCATGCCCGAGAACGTGGACCGGGCACGTGAGGAGATTGAGGCGCACATCACTCTGCGCACCGGTGCCTTCACTGACGCTGGTCCTGATAGCGACTTCCATGCCAACGGTACCGATGTCTGCCTAGACCTTCTTGGGGCAGCTACCAGTCTCTGGGCCAAGGCCCCCAACCCAGGACGGCGGCACCCCACAGCCACAGCTGGTCTCCGCGGGGACAGTGCCCTAGGTGCCCCTAGCACCCCCGAGGCCTTCTATGCAGGCAGCCGCGGGGGACCACCAGTGCAGGACACAGGCCCTGCCAGCCCCTACAGTAGCACCGGCAATGGGGGCTTCACCTTTGGTGGGGATGGCCCTGGTGCCCCTGCGGGGACTGCTGCCCCTGAGGACTGTGACTTCAGTTTCGACTTCTTGGCACTGGACCTGACCGTGCCCGCTGCAGCCACCATCTGGGCCCCCTTTGAGCGGGCCGCACCCCTGCCCGCCTTTACTGGCTGCTCAGCTGTCAATGGGGCCACAGCGCCTCCTGCCACCAGCGCCCGGCGCAGCAGCGGGACAGGGACTCCCAGCCACTCGCCCACACTGCCTGAGCCCAGTGGCCTGGGCTTGGAGCTCCCCCTGGCCCGCCGGGGTGCCCCCGACCTGGTGGGTGCGCTTCCCTGGCGGCCCCCTCAGGGCTCCCTGCCCTTTCCTGGTGGCACTGCCTTCTCCGCAGCCACCTCACTGCCCAGCAGCGCCCCAGCAGCCTCCTGCTCCCCGCTGGACTCCAGCACCTCCGAGAGCAACCGCAAGCCCTCAATGGCTGCAACTGTGGCCCCCGGACCCCCGGCGACGTCAGCCTCCCCAGCCTTGGCACGGGAGTGCGTGGTGTGCGCCGAGGGCGAGGTGATGGCCGCGCTGGTGCCCTGCGGCCACAACCTCTTCTGTATGGACTGCGCTGTCCGAATCTGCGGCAAGAGTGAGCCCGAGTGTCCTGCATGCCGCACCCCGGCCACACAAGCCATTCATATCTTTTCTTAGCATGGGCCTCTATGTGGCCCTGAGCTGGCTTCCACCAGGGCCAGCTGCAGGCAACAGGGGTGGGCAGGGGCGAGGGGGAGCCAGACCTGGGCCAGGGGGGCTGGGCCAGTGTTTACAGACGAGCTTTAACTCCTGTCCCAGGCGTGGAGACTGCGAGCCCGCGACCCGGCTGCACCTCAGTTCTTAACAAATAACAGTATTGAGTCCACAGGTTACAATAAACCAGAGAGAAAAGGTCTCCTTGCACTTTTATTTAAGACACCCCCACCTCCAGGGTGATCTGTAAAACAAGAAAACACAATTTTTACAACTCTCAGTGTGCTCCTTTTGTACACAGCAGTTTTCTGATTTCACAGTGTTCTCAGCGGCCTCAGACTGTATAGACATTTCTGCAAGGAGGATAGTGACATTTTTATTCCCTTTTCTGGGCTAACTGTTTACCCTTTTGTAAGTCAGCCACCCTAGGCTGGAGGGGGGTGGGGGGCAGGGTCCAGGGGGCTCCCAACCAGAAATTTCTAACTTCTTTTTTTTTTTTTTTAATTATTAATCCCCTTCCTGCTGTGGTTTCTGTTGTCATTTTTAAATTTTTTTTTTTTTTTTTTTTTTTTTTTT